AATGTAAGCATGATAGACCAAATTAAACAATTACACACTTTTAATGATAATTCAGTTAAAGTAATAAACATTTTGGTAAATTTAATTAATTTGATGACAATATGTTTGTCGTGAATCCCAATACTAAAGGGTGTTATTAAACCCGAAAGCATTAAAAATGCTCTCAAATCTCGAGGTTTTATACCCCGACTATAGTTATAATAATTCAGTGATTGTGATAGTAATGTGATAACAGAACTACCAATAATTAAAATAGATGTTGGGATTCTTGTTCCTGTAAAATAAGCTGGGTCACCTAATATTGCATACAAATGTTGATTTTGTTCAGGAATAATAATTAAAATAATTTGCCGAAAAAGACATAAAATTGTTAAAATAAATATAAGAATCGGATGACAAGTGATATGTCTATTGCGGGCATTAATGGGTTTATATAGCGAGAGACCAATACTGTAGAGATGAGTGCCGGCGCTTAAAATGCAAACACTTTTCGGCAAAACTTTATGCAATTTAATAGCATTGGATTTGGGATTCACTTTCATTTTTAGTACAAAACAATATAAATTTAGTTTATTATTTAATTTATTCTAATAGTAATATTCTATTAGTAATAAATATATATTTTTTATATAATTTTCCAAAAAATTTACTAGTTTACATTAGTATGACAAAAGTACGGTATAAAATATTTTACAATTTTCATATAAACCATTAATATTATAATATAATAATTATATTATCGTTATTATTGCATATATTTTTCGTACGTTAACATTTGTTAAAATAATTAATTATATTAACATTAAACATAATATGAATACATATAATAATAAAGAATATTTCAGAAAATTAATGAAAATAATATATAATTAACATTTAATGTTGAATTTTATTCATTTAGAAAATAGACTATGTAAAATAGGTACCTTATTTAAATAATGGTATATTATTTAATGTTTAACTTTATTTATTGATACCGAAAATTACTAAATAAATATAATATCTGATATTGATTTAGTGCTGGCTCATATAGTATCTACATTGTAGATGTCAGTTGAATAATTTTCACTTTACTAATATCACTTTATTTATCACAACCAATAATTTGTATTTGTAATTTTCAAATTTCAAAATTCAATCACATTAAATATTTAATCATATTCATAATCATTATGATATAGTGTATGCTATTTATTATAATTTTATATTCTATGCTTTTAATAACTCAAATTGTTAATTGTTATGTTAATGATAATAGTGTAATGTATAATGTATACTATAATGTTATTTATAGTAGAGTATTGAATGTCATGTAAATCAAGTAAAGCATAAATATTAAAAACATACATTTATTACAATTCATAGCAAATTTAATTCATAGCGATTACAGATACAAATAGTGTGAGTTTGCGAATCAAACAATACATCCATTTCCGCACATCACGACTCATACAAGTGGTTATCCCTAATATACTGGATTACGGGGTCGGGCACTAAATACCGGATACTATCCCCACACTTAATCGCTTCCCTCACCGCCGAAGAACTCACGGCATTCGGGATCTTCTCCTCGACTATAAATATATTATTCTTATATTCCTGAAGAATATCCGCTTTGGGACTCTTCTCGAGCGTACGCCACGGATCTGATCCCTGTCTGGTGATCACCACAAGTCCATAATCAGCGCAAATACGGCGGATATCCTCATCCCTCCAGAGGTCCGGCACGTTGAACGTCTCGAAGAGGTCGGCGCCGCACAAAAACATCAGCCCTACGCCCGGCGCTAATTGGCTCTTATAGTAGTCGAGCGCCGGTAGCGTGCGCGGCCATTGCGGCTGCCGGGCCTCCCAGTCCGAGCACCGGACCCAGTGTGGGACGGCATTCATGGGCTGTAGGCCAAGCTCCACCATACGGCACCGGTGTGTGGCGGGCGCCAGACGTTTGGCGGTCTCGTAGGCGTCGTGTGTGGGCGATATGATGCCCTCGACGACCACGTGCTGGGGCCGGGCGTATCGGCTCAGGTAGTCTTTTGCCAATTCAAACATTCTTAAGTGCATATGAGTTATGGGGTTGAATGAGCCGCAGCTCAAGAGTACGGTGCGACGGGTCAGTCTATCGGTGCTCAGCTCATCGGTGGTCGACATGACGGTGCGATAGTCACTGGGGAATCGGATCATAGGGTTAGGTATAGAGGTATGGATGGAAAGGTAGGCTTTTCTCACGTATTTAAGTGATGGTGCGAAAGGTACTAATGTTCTGCACTTTGTATCGCGATTTGTGCCACAATTTGGTGATTATTTCTATGGAAACCGGTGTTTAGTACGCGAACGACCTTGATAAGTTTTATGTTATGGTGTACAGTATTACGATATATCACTTATGGCTAAGAATTTGTACGTTTTGTGTAAAAGTTGTTGAATTTATGTTTTACAGAATATTCTGTGATATTCTTGTCGGCAAACCACTCACACATTCGCGTAATGTTTACGTCAAGTCTTGCTTACAGTCACTCATAGATGGCATTATAACTACCAAAACTCACATACCGTTACATAAAATAGCTTCTCATTCAACTCCCTATTCATAAAATCAATTGTTTTTCCCATAGAAATACCTGTTATTATGCCAAATATTAACCCCTATGTACTGTAACTCTATATGTGAATAAAATATAATGATATGAAACCAAATACATGTTTTTAGTTGCCATAGACTTAACATAAGGCCCCAAACAGTGCATTAGTAATACAGTAATCAATTGAGTCGCTGATTGGTTGTTGTGATCACGTGTTTGTCATAACTATTGCCAAAACATTTGAGTTACGAAAACAACATATGATTTGAAAGTGCAGTCAAAGTGTGTCTTAAACTGTGATTTACCACCGATTGCGGCCAAGACATCACCACCGGAACCATGTTTTGCTGCCCAATGATATCGTGCGATACAATGCTAACACTGTGTCCGGTGATAATGGCTCTGTTCTGGCCGTTCGTGGCCTCCATCTACGGATCAGAAGCCGTGTTAAGACAATCGCTGATCATATGTCTGTATTTCGTGGCCTGCGATCTGTTCCGACAGTTTACGCGAAGAATATTTCACGTGAGTATCTCTAAGACACTGTTTGACATTGAATTATCACTTTATCTGATCCGCAGAACGACTTCCATGTGTTGGAGTCCTTCGCGAATATCGTTATACTGATAGCGCTGTTCAGTCAGACCTACGCTAAGATGCCATCGATTGTCATCCAATGCATCGGTTTTATGATCACTAACTGCGAGCCACTCATAGTCTACATCGAAATGAGACAATTGGTGCGTTTGGTGATGGCTTGCGGTCAGTGGGCGGCCGATACCATACTAAGCACTACCGGTGCCGGTGATGACGATCGGAAGGCTTTTGTGGCCAAAGTATGCGTTTTGACGGCCACTACAGTCGCCTATGCGTTGGCTTTTTTCGTCGTGAGGTCGGCGCTCATCAACGCTCAGACGCTACTGTTTACTTAGTATGCATTTCCCCCGACAGTGATGTCCACTCTATAGTGAACCCACGGTTATATACTGTATATACAGTAGTAGTGTAGTGTATTTCAAACAGAATATTCTGTAGTCTATGTCTTATTAGTTATGTATTGGTTTATTTACTTACGTATTGTCTTATTATATACCGTGAGTTCATTATAGAGTATTTAAACATTAGTGTTTTGGTTTACGGCAATAATTGTATGAATTGTGTCATTGAATTAGTGCCGCGATTCTGTTGATTGCCTTTCAAGTCATACAAATCATGGCTACTATTCATGTGGAGGAAGGTATGCGACCAACCATTTCATGGAATTTGTGAATCCATTGCATTTACCACTGATTTTATGTACGGTTTTCAGGTATAATCTCAGACCCGGCGCTGGTATTCCTGATGTCGAGTCTCGCACTATATTTATCCGTTTTCGACGACAATAACAAAGATAACTTCAACACAATGTAAGTCTTAATTGAATTACTTTTTTATTGAATTACTAAACAATTAACAAAATCCATGGACTTATGATTAATGAGAAAATAGTGCATAAATTGATTACAAAAATGAATTCATTATCCGATACGAAACCAAAACCTAAACACGCGTTCAATGCGACGACTTTTGAGACCTGTATTCATAAATCTCGTGCGAAGTGTACTTGCGATGGGAAAGGCTGTCAGTACTGGCCGGGGAGTGATACTTCGCACCCGCACTACCGGTGCTACTCGTACTACATTCTCGGCCACCATCATCCCCTCCCCCACCGCCATAGAGCGCACCGATCTGTAGCACCACTTCCTCGATGTCCTCCCTCTTGAGTCGCTCGTCGAACGCCTCCATCCACGGTATGAGCGCCTCCTCATTGTGGGGTATCTTATAGTTGAGACACCGGAGCGCCAACTCGATGACACTGATGGCGATGTGTTGGGGCCGGTAGTCGAGCGACCGGTGGTCGACGCACATGTAGTCGTTGAGCAGCGCCCAAGAGGTGGCCCGGAGTTTGGCGGCCATCGTCTCGTCGCGCATCCAATCGCACAGAGTCTGCAGATAGACGTTGAGGTACCGGTGCGCCAGCGGTACGTCCACTTTGAACCGCAACATCCGGATCAACAGTAGCTCGCAGTCGATGATCGAGTCCTTCAGACTCTGCAGGGTTTTGATGTCTTTGAGCCCATCGGAGGTCTTGTG